GTGTGTGTGTGTGTGTGTGTGTGTGTGTGTGTGTGTGTGTGTGTGTGTGTGTGTGTGAGAGAGAGAGAGAGAAAGAGAGAGAGAAAGAGAGGTAAGGACACGGTGGCTCTAACAGAGTCTACAGAGATATGTGTGGAGAGGATGTGGCTGTTGCACCGTTTTACTTTCAGTGCTGCTACTTGAGCTGATCCACCGGATGGTTATAGTCCCCCCCCCCCTTCTCGCTCCTTTTTAAATGTATTGTTTGCTCTAACATATTGTACTGACTAGGACCGGGAATCTTCTGCTGACTTATCTGTCGATTGTTTGGCGGGTTTCACGGGGGAAACCTGTCCTGGATCGGTGTGAGGCGTTACAGCCGGAGCGACATGAGCGCAGGAAAACTTCTGAGGCTCCGGATGGACGTACCTGTCATCATTTTGCTCATCCACTTGACCCACACTGAGATTAGAGGTAAAGGCAGATGGAGGGTGGAGAAGGTGATGTGCTTAAGACCCACTGTAATTTTCTGTAATATTTTGCTCATATTTTATTTATAGGATTATTATTGATTATTTACACCGATCAGCCGCAACATCGCAACAGATTTGAATGTTCCGGCTGATCTGTAGCCTGTTTTGAAAGTGATAATGTGATTTAAAACTTATTCTATAGTTTCAATCATTTTCCATGGCTTCGTGGCTCGACTAAGTGAAAGAAATACCCGATCAGCAACGTTATGTTTGTAATGTGGGAGGCGTATCTCATTCTGATTATATGTCATTGTTAAAAAGGATTCAAGTTTTTCATTTTAGCTCATGTAACTTGTTCGGTGGGTTTTGAATTACGTCATTTTATCTCTGTTTTACGATCATTCTTTCTATTTTCATGTGAACAATTTCCTTTATTGTAAAGCACTTTGATCTGTATTTCTTGAATGGAACATGCTATGTGAAAATAAGATGTATCATAATTACAGTATAATTATTAGTATTTATTATGTGTGACTGTCCTCAGAAGCTTAGAAGAAAAATATCGATTTATATTTAGGATGCTCTTTAATGAGCTAATTACATTTAAATGAATCCGTTTTGATAATTTGCTTAAATGAGTATGTAGGTTAGCTTGTTCAGGCAATTGAAACATTCAGTAGGAAACATTCAGTGCTGCCTCCACCTCTCAGTCTGTGATTCATCTTCAGGTCTCCTAATTGTGTCAGGTGTGTTTGGCTGGATGAGGTCTTGTATGAGCATTTTCTTTGACACACAAAGATGCAGAGAGACAGAGACATGACAGATATACTGATGTTCTGTTTCACACTCAGTTACTGTTGTTGTTCAATGTGCAGCTGAATCAAACAGTGTTTCGACCATGGGTGGAGGACTCTCTCAGGACTTGCTGTGAAATCAGTTGTGATTGTTGACGTTACAGGACGGCCACAGTACCAGTTTTTGATTTTGTTCTCTCTAGAGGAATAACAGATTTGTTTTTTATTGCATCACAGTTATTTTGTAAACTTTGTTCAGTGTTGGAAGAAGTGCTGATATTTTTCTTACTTGTAGCAGTAACACAATGAAAACACACAAGTGACAGTCCTGCTTACGTAAACATACTTAGGTACTGGCAGCAAAATGTACTAAAAAAGTAAAAGTACTCATTTTATAAAATGTTTGTGTTATCGTGCAGTGAATATATATATTATTAGCATTAGCATGTTAATGTCAAAGTAGAGTTAATTTTAAAAACTGCTGTTGAGTAGGTAAATCTATAACAATGCATATTTTATAAACTGACCTTATACTGATCTGAGAAGTAACTATAACTGTAGAATAAATGTAGTGGAGTAAAAAGTGCAGTATTTCTCTGTGAAATGTAGGGGATTAGAAATAAAGTAGCATAAAATGAAAATACTCAAGTCAAATACAGGTTTCTCAATATTGTACTTAAATACATGCACTTCACATTCCACCACTGATTTCATTGGTTTTAATAGCGCCGGACAGTTACAGTCCCAGTTCAGGATTGATAAGACAGTGTTTTGGATCACCAGAGTCAGTGACAGAGCAAATGAGGAGTCACATTTTCTGCGACATGCGGAGGAATGGCAATGAGGAGGAGGCCGCAGTTCAATGTTTTTCACAAACATTTCAGATCATGTATTCAGATAGTGTAATCTCTGTCAGATAGCGATTGGTTACATCTGTCAGATCAAGTCTTTTCTGCCATAATGGATGGGGAGCGGTTGGCTCACCCGCAGGAAATATCCAGTTGTGAGACCACAGAGATCCTGGCACAACAGAGACAGCAGAACAAGGATCAGGATTCAGACAACCATGAATATTGCTAGAGGATTTATGTTTTTGCTTGTCACTGTTTGTCTCCGTGATTGATACAGTATTTTGGCCTGATTATATTACAGAATAGTGATGGATAGTAATGATGATGTGCTGACATTCACATAAAAGCCTAATCAGAGTAATGTTAAGCTAATACGTAATTTAGTTCATGATTTAAATCAATGAATACATTTGAAAACAGATATTTAGCTGTTAGTGAATGCAGAACGAAAAGCTTCAGTGACGCTGCAGAGGATCTGAGAGAATCTGAAAATAGACAACAACAGACTAAAAACCCTTCTGTTTAGCCTGGTTCTTTGTCAGACACTTTGAATTGCATTTAAAGGTGCAATATAAAGCCCATAGGTGAGAGACAAATTGAGGATTTCAAACAAGTTATCAGGATTTTGACTTCTGGTAAATAATCAACCAATATTTATCCCATGAGCACCTAGATATGGTGTAAACAGCCCCCTGTCTGGAAACTACAGAGGCCGGCATCATGTCAGTTTACATCACTCCTTGGCTTCAGTCTCTGTGTGTGAAGGTTTCTCTGCCACACACAGAGGTGTTGTGTCAGACTGAATCTGCTCTTTATGGCTGGGAATAATCTTGAGATACTGGTGAACTGATTCAAATAGTCTTTTCTAATATTGACTCAGTGTAGGCGGAAGCTTTGCCAGATGGTCTCAGTGATCGTCCCATTTTCTTTGCTCAACTGAAACAGTCAGTTACAAATTATATCTGTTTATAATAAAGTGAAAGGAAACAGAATATGGAGCGCTAGCAACTGTGGAAGTGGCTAATAACTCTCTCACAAAGCCATTAATTTACTTTCTGTGGGCTGCAGGGAGGCGATCTGCTCTGTTATCCTAACCGGCGCCACCTACAGGAAAGGAAAGTAACATCAGCAGAAGTTTAGACCTGCACATGTAGATATAGTGATGACGCCACCTAGACAAAAAGAAAAGAATAGCAGCTGCAGTTTTAACACTGTGCAGCCGGGGTAAGAGCTACATCTTTTCTTTTGAACAGTTGCTTTTTTCTTAGTGTGTGGTTTGGATCTGTTCTCGGGTCAGTTCAGTTTACTCTTCATTGCGGGGAAACACATTCTCTTGAGGTTTAATTTATTCAGATGTTCTTGTTTCAGTGACCTTTCCTTTAGCTTGCGAGCCTTCCCTTGAGCAATTGTGCTATTTATCACAATTTTGACGTTTTTATGACCGCTGTGCTTTTCTTTAGCACGTCAGATCTTGCTGACACCGCTCTTAACAACACGTTCCCATTCATTTGTTATTGTGCTGGCCCTGTTCACCATCACATGGGGTTTACGGGGGTTTATGGGGTTTACGTGCACTTTCCATACTGGTAGATTTTCAGGTCTATAAGTCAAACTGAACTTAAACCTCATAGTCAGTGTTTAATGTCAAATCCAGTGTGCTGGAATGCAGAACCAGAACTCACCGTGCAAACACTTTAGTTTGTACTCCTACTGCTCTGATGTCATATTTGGCACTGGCACAGTATGGCATCAATTTGAAGTTTCCTAAAAGATTTAATAGGATTTAACCTGGACTGTTCCTTCTTCTAACTGTGGTACTATTTTGTTCGGAAAGTTGGAGTAGTAGTACAGCGTTTTTGGAGATTTGTGTTGTCGTATGTAATAAATTGTCTGTTTTTCTGGACACAGACATGTCAACCCTTTATAAGAATGAAGCCGGATGAAAGAGCTGGTGTCAGAACACAGATAATGTTTCGGCTGGAAGATGGATAACTGCAGTAAAATCAAAACATCAACTTTAATGTTATGATTTGTTCATATGAATTTTGCCCATCTTGGCCACAGCTTTTCCATCCCTTGCCTCCTCCTCTGCTCTCACTTTTGCTCTTCCCATTATGTTTCTGTATTTTCCGCTGTTTTGCTTTGTCTTGGTTTTTCCTCACCTTTCCACCAGGCACCCCCATGACTTAGCACTTAGTCAACAGCGGATCGCTGCCTGTGTAAACACTTTCTCCTCATCACCAATTAGTGTCTGCCTGTGTGTGTTGATCTTGATTATGACGCTCTGCTGTGCACTCTGTGGGAACTCCTGATCTAGTTTGTTTGGGCCTCGTGCTGCAAGTTCATAGATACAAATTCCAGCAACTTTTTTAAATGTTGTACACTCACAAATGACTGCTTTACATGAGCATTAATTTGTGCACTTTCCACACAAAGGCAAAGTATTAATAAATATAAGTTGCACAGACTTATAATGATCATTTCTCATAGAAACATCCAGGTCATAATATACAGAGAAATTCCTGCGCATTGAAATATCAACCAACTGGTTTGTATCCAACAACAACTAAAAATGGCATGTGGTTATGGTGCCAAAAAATAAGCAGTTTAATTCTAATTTGACATAGTAGAACTCTCATATATGAACATCCTTATGTTGTTATGTGCCAGCAGTAATGCTGCATGTGCCACTTACAAATATGACTGGGGCCTTTGTGTTAGCTAGCAGGCAAAAATGAGGGACTTGTTTTGGGGTTGTTTCACAGGAGACAGGCTGCAGTAAATGAACTGTGAAAAAAAGTTTTTGTGCCAGCTACAGTCCTGTGTATCTCATTTGTGTGTTGGACATGAATTGTGAAACAGTAATAAATGATTAGTCTTTGAGGTTTATGTGCATCGAAATGATGGATTATGAGAAAATCAGCCCCTGGGTAAAGACAGGTAAAAGACATCCAACCCTTCCTGTGATCCCCAGACTGAAAGAGACATATTTGTAATCATTTAAATCTCTCTTTCGTTCTTTTGCATCTTTTTTGGTCATTTTGTGTCTCTTTTTGGCCCTTTTTATTCAATGGATTAACTCATACTGAAATTTTTCTTGAGTTACAGCCTTCATCTAGAGAATTATGAAAGTTGAAATGAATGATACCACTTTTTCTTGGTTTCATGTCTATCACAGATCTCATTTTGTGTTTCATTAAGTGCCATCATTAAATTCATTATTTATATGTGTTACGTCAAAACATCTTCTGTGGAAAAGGCCTATTACAACGACATAAAACAAGACATTACAAGACTGTGTTTAATGTCCAAATGTGGAAATTCTTGTCAGTGTTTACTTTTATATCGTTGTCATGGAGTCTACTTCCTCCATTCCCGATATCTAACCAATCAATGTTGATATGGAGTATGCTGAAAGGAAGCTACACATTCCTGTAGCTCATGATGTTTGAGAAATGTTGTTCACTTGTGTTTAGTTTTTCTGTTCACAACAGTTTTCTGCAAGGGGACTTTAATTCCCTGACCTGTCTGACCCTTTTAGAGTGTATTTCCCCTGTTAAAATACCTGTGGGTAATTTGTTTCTGCCGAGATGGTGGTCAGTTTCACTGAAGGGAAAATTGATGACGAATGGGTCAAGTGGCACTAATTCCAGAGATCCTCCCTGATTGGCCACAGACAGCAGGTGACAGGGTATCAGGGGGTGATTGGTCTGTTTTTCTCTGTCCAGGAAAATGGAGGGGGGTCAGTGTTTTGTGTAAAGTGAAGATTTTTTTTCACAGTAAAATTATAATTTTTATTCATAATTATTGTCAATAAATTCATATTATTGCTACATTATTTTCCATTCATGTGCCACTGGCAAATCCGAGAGATGACTAGTACTTTCATTCATATGCTGATGCCTGTCGACATCTGCCCGATGTCTCATTTCCATTACACCAAATACAGTAATTGCTTACAATTATAAAAGCTAACACCATGTTCAGTGACAGTCACAGGATTGATGGCCTGAAACATCCTGTCAGTTAATGCTGACAAAACTGAGATGTCAGTGCTATGTCATTTTGAGCTGTTGTATTATATAAGCCTGTGTATTCCATCTTGGGTTTTAAGTTGTGACAGCTGTCACGAGGTTTGTCCCATGTAGCCTATAGTAAGTGTTATTGAGGACTGTAGCTAAGTCACACTTTTCTATCATACTTCAAACAGAAAAAAACTTTATGAAACCTCACTCTAATTCCTCCATCTCTTTTTCAGCTCTGGTGGCCAGCAGCCAGGTGGAAGAAGAGACGGGATGCCCCCTCGGCCAGTTCCCATGTGGGAACATGAGTGAGTGCCTCCCTCAGGCTCTGCAGTGTAACGGACACAAAGACTGTCCCAACGGAGCCGACGAGCGGCGCTGTGGTAAGTCTGTGTGTATGAAGTAGAATAGTGGTGGTAAACAATCAAGGAGGCCTCAGGGAATGTATTATATATATTTACCACAAATAATAAGTAATAGATAGATTTCTATTTTTAGCTTGTAATTTCACATAAAGATTTCTTTGTATTATCGTAAAAAAGAACACAGTACATTTCTTCCCTCTGGCACACAACTAATCTAGTGCCAACTCTCGACCAGATATCAGTGCAATCTTAGCAGAATAAACAAACTTTAGATGAAAAAAACAACAAGGACATCATCCAGCAGGGAAGATCATAGTGATCATTGGGTAACAAAAATAAAAATACTCAATTAATACTGTAAAGCAAAGGATGAAAGTTAAGAATCATTGTTACCTCAAATATCATCTCAAAGTTTCCCCTACGAGCAGAGTCTCAGTGTGACCACATGTGGTCTGAATGAGACCCTCTGAGGTGATCAGCCGGAAGAGAACAAGCACCGACAGTCGATCATGTCCTGTGAAATCAAGAATTATTCAAGTTCTCAAATTGAATTAATTACTTTCAGATTTATATAACTTACACCTATATAAAAGATTGTTTAACCAGACTAACAGCAGGTCAATATGCACAATCATGACTTCACGAGAAACTGGACAGTATATCCAAAAATAAAAAAGAGTGACTTTACAAATGGTTTGGCATGAAGGTGTAAGGGCTGCTACTGAAACCCAGCCTCAAGTAAAGAACACCTTTAAAGGATGTTAGAGATATTTTTTATAGACGCTGTACTTCCATCCATTCGCAGATGAACAGGCTGCTCATCAGCGGATTCATGAGCCCTTCACTGACAACAGCAAAGAACAGCTTATAGACAGTAAGATAAACCAACCTCCTCTTAGCTCATAGACTTCTACCACTCCGACAGTTTATTGTAAAGGTGCAGCACCGGAGTCCCTGTGGTCCGAGGGCGGGCGGCAAGAAATGTCATGCTGCAGCTTCTCAGCCATGACAACTTTAAGGTTGAACAAGATTAAGAATTGAGGATGACATGCTTGTTACTTTATCAAAGACATCAACACGTGTCGTGTTTTTTTTTTTTTTGAGAGCAAATACAGTTATTTTATTTTAGTGACACAACAGACCAACTGCAGCCGTGCTCTCCTGTCGCCTCTCTTGGGGCCTTGGCCATCTAGAGTGTGAGCGACTGGAAAAACCTCCTCACCGCGTTCTCTTCTGTGTTCTTTATAACTGTGAACTAACTGGAGAGAAGAGAAAGGCATGAGCACAGGGTAACACAGCGTGGGCAACTTCAGAAAAGGATGGAGTACACCATATTGTAAAAGATCTGCCCAGTTTCAGAGATCTGTTCAGATTCACATCATCGTTCAAGACCAGGCTCTTTGTCTGCTGAATATTTACTCTTTTGTGGTGGCCATTCTAGTGTTGAATTATCTTTTCTACATTAAAACACTTTTCATAGACACTGAGAATGAGCTATTCTCTATGAATATTTTCCTATTTCTAGGGCATCAGTATTGCCAGTGTTTATCCCTTTGTCTGATAAAGTGAGCAATATCCAAAAACATTTTTCTAGTACATATTATGCTTTGAAAAACATTGTATTTGCCGCAGGATAAAAGCATATTTTCCATATCAGCTAGATCAAGAAGGAGCACAAATTAGTCTCAGCCTGGCTGTGGTTGTGCCTCCATGCCAAATAACCAGAAACCCATTCTGTGCTGAATTATCTCTCCTCTTTCCCATCCTCCTCATCAGGCAGCCTGCACTCACTGCAATGCTGTGCAGCATTGCCATGATAACAAGGATTTCAAAAAAAAAGCTCATCTAACAATGGGCACCAGGCCCTCACGCAGGACGCCATACCTCATCTTCTCAGCTGTCTTGTTTCTGCTGTGTTCCTGATGGTGACGGTTGGCTCGCTGAGCATCTTGATCAGATTGCTGCATACAGCTGATGTCGTGAACATGACTGTAAATTCCAAGTATGTGTTTTGAAGCGGCTGTCAGCGCCGTACTGACGAGGGAAAAAATGTTAGGGCCGCTGTTAATTTAGCACTTTCCAGAACTGTTGTACTGTTTCATAGATAAATGTAAGATAGTTTGGTCCGTGGGCTATAGCCTCCACGGCTGACATGACTGCTGTCAGACTTATTTAGGTTTCACAAAAGGAGCATGGTTTATTATCATTCAGGAAATGAGCAACTGACCATGATGCCAACTCCATCCTCCTCTGCATCGGTCAGCTGAGCTGTGACGCAAATGCTGCACTCACCGGGATTAGCGTGATACCTACAGTGGAGTTGCAGTGCTGGTAATAACACTGGGTACAGAATAGCTCAAGCACCTGTCTTTTTTGCTTGCCATCACCTGAGCTTCTTGTTACTTATCAGCCATTATAAACACACATACCAATTTAGCTGCAATGAGTTTAAATGTGCAAATGTAAAGATGTATCAGTTAGGCTCTAATTTCACCCAACTGCATGTGTTGACGTGTGTGGTCTTCGCTGTCTTCTGTAAAGAATAAATAAAAATGCAGCGCTGCTCCCTGCTACACCTGCTGAATACCTGCTCTTTCTGCCAAGCTCACTGTTTATGAGCTGTAGGAGCTCGAGTGAATGGAGTCAATAAGAATGAAAAATAGAGGACAACTATGGACAGTATGTAAGTTAGTCAACTGGTAACAAGCTCAGGGAAAGTCTAACAGTGTCTGTACAGTAAGTGTTTCAGCTGATTGTGCGTTGGGCTGTGAGCACTGCCAAAGCACAGGTGACCTTCACTCAGTACTGCACCTAATGCGTCCTGTCTAGAGACAGATGTACGACTGAAGCTGCTGCTGCTAACTTTCTGCTCATTCCATACACACACACATATATAAGAGTTTCTTTTTACACCAATGAGCTGAGGTCGGCTTTGTGTCACAGATTAGCACACTAGTGGTAGTATAAGATGGTATGGGTTTGATGCTCAGTATACTGTTGTTTGATATTCATGATCAGCCGTCGAGGAGGACCGTGCTGTCTCTACTACAAGCACAGTAGGTGCTGAAATATCAAAGTGAAAAGCAGCTCCGCAGTGGAGGTTCGCCCAAGAAGATATAATGTAGATATAGATATGAGGTCAGGTCAAGCTGCCGAGGGTCCGGTCTTCGTTTTGCTAAGGGAAGGATTCGAGGTAATTTATGGTTTAGAGAACGGCGACTTGTTAGAGAGCTCAGCACAGCCTGATACATGTCAAAACAATTTACTTTTGGCACATTTCACCATGTGTATTCATACAGTAAATGGCAATTTCATCCTTCACATTTGCAATTTTTGAAGCGGTTATTCTAGGCAATTAGTTCACAAAAACCTTAGAGACTTTATTTCCTGGAGATGACAGCAAAAAAAAAAAAAAATCCATAAAGCAAAGTCTCATAAGCAAAGAAAAATATCATTTCTCCTCATCACCAGTGAGACTTCAAAGCTATTTCTTAGCTGTGTTCACTTAACAGCCTCCAGTGCAGCATCAGAGAGGCTTTGAATGGTAGCTGACTGAAAGGCTGAGGACGGTGCGCGCACTGAATGCGATGGCTTCTTTTCAGACAGCATGTTTGACAGCTACAGTTGGCTCTGCCTCATGGCGCTGATGCGAAACCCCCAACATCCTGCATCTAAACCCCAACATCTACAGTAAAGCCAGTTTGTCTGAGAAAGTTGTTATTAACCCTTTTCAGAGCGGACGTGAGGTACCGCGGTTATGTGCATGAAAGGCAAATAATGAATTGATGCTTAAACCGATGACAGGAATGTTTAATTTGACCCGCTTACGCTTATTAAAGTACCAGTCAGCCAAACATAGTGCAAGGTCTGACCTGACCGTGGTGTAATTATGTGCAACAGTTGTTTAGACAAACTTTTGTAAAGTATATAAGATGTGTGTTGATGAAGTTTTGCAGTAGACATACCAATAGCCTGGAGCCCACGTATGTTTTGATAGAATTGATCTTAATAACAGGACAGTCAGATTATTACATTCAGCAGTATTTACAATGGAACCAAGCCCCCGCAGTGTTTGAAGTTCTGCCACCTGTCAAATCTCTTCCAAGTGTCGTTGAATTGCTGTTGAGTCTGTTCCCAAAATAACTGCATTCTTAATTAAAAGTATTCTCCTGCCCAAAATCTAGAGAAAAGCCATTCAAGGTGCGAAGATATGTCTGCCTGTGCTGCGGTGATTTCACAAAAGAAAATCCCTCTCTGCCGGTGATGATAATTTATCAGGACACAGTGCAGGACAAGATTGTTTTATGCTTGGCTGACTCCATTTTTTACCTTTTATGCATGTAACCTAGCAACCTATCGATGACAGTCAAGTAGTCTACACACACTCGTGTCTCCTGTGATGAACAGATAATTATTGTCTTTTGTTTGGCTTTGCAGGGGACAACATCGGATGGGCGGACTTATTTGGTCAAACGCTACAGAATGCAAATCCTGTGGACCAGTACTTCCTGAATGAGTGTTGTAAGTGTGTGCGGACAGTGTTTATGCCAAAATGCATGAATGTGTGTTATTTACCTCGACCATGTGTGTATGTTTGTTTGTTTGGACATTAATCTGATGAGGATGTGTTATGTGCAGGGGCACAGCACCTTGTTGTTCAACACTGTCTCCCAGAGAGTTACATTCAGAGGCAATGTATTTTTTGAATGAATGTGGCACCACAGCAACAGTCTCCAGGACGTGGTTGGGGGTGGATGGTGGGTTGGGTCTGAAATCAGTCACTCATTCACTTCTCCCTACTCACTATCTAGGGAGTATGTAGAGGACTGTATATTGAGCTAAAAAAAAAAAACACTTTCGCTCAACTCTATTCTTTATTCTTTATTTCAGCGTGAGTGCAGTGCATGATGGTATATATTGCTTGCTTAGTGACCATTGGTTGTACACCACTTTTCAATAATTCTCACTTTACATTTGGACAGCAATACAAAATGGCAAACTGACTACATAGAGAAGTATATATGGAGTAATGAGTGATTTCAGACACGGCCCAGATCTGTCCCACCAGAGATCTGTGTTTGCATCCTGAGTCCTGTCTGTGGTTATGTTTAGGCAACAAAAGCATTTTGGTTAAGGTTACGGAAAGATTATGGTTTTTGTTAAATGTAAATTAACATGTTATATCTGACGACACTGAACTGTTTCTGTAGTAAATCAGACTACTATCTTTCTCTAACCTTAACTGAGAGCTGTGAGAGTCTAAACAAAAACCATAAAACAGTGAAATAATGCTGTTGTGGTTACAAGCAGATATTGTACTGCCAGATCAGTTATTTTGCCAGAAAACAAATGGTTGCCTGAACATTTTACTCATGCATTCACTTTCAACACATTTGCAACTTGCCAGATATTTAACGACATTACAACATTACATGATAATCCTCATTACGTTGATAGAAAACATAATCTCGTCCCAGTTACGTTTCTGGCGTTTCTGTGAACACAGCTGTGAAAATGAATTTCCCCTCGGGGACAATAAACTAACTAACTAACTAACTAACTAAAATGTATTTGTTGTTGCGATTTGTTGTAACAACAAAAGATGAGGCTCTGACTCCATTCTCTGTCCCTCGTTATCTTTTTTTGTATCTGTTACAAAATGATTTACTGTACAAAATAACAAGCCGCTGCCGGGGAACAGCACAGGTGAAGACGATGGGAGATAATGACCTCATATCATTCAGCAGAGATGACACTCTTTGATTGTCTCCCTAATTTGTCTTGATTAACTTGTGGTAAAAACAAATTTCCACTCTGTGGAAAAGGGAGCTGAAACAATTAGTTGATTAATTAAAAGCTGATTGACCAAAAATTAAATCCACAGCAGTTAAGTATTCACCGGGTGTACATTTCCCCTCCCAGTACAGATTCTGGTACCTCAACATACTTTACTTAAATTTAAAAAGCTGTGTGCCACACTACATAGAATTCACTGAGGAAGTAATGTGACACCAGGAGTTGCTGTGAGTCAGTGGCCTGCTGTGACAGAATAAATATTGCTGAAAGCAGAAATACTTACTCTTATAGTGACACTAATGAGCAACTTGTATTTAATGCGGCTTGCTCTTGATAGATGATGCGCTTCATATGGTCAGTATTAGCCCCAACACTGATCTGGCATATATAACTTTGATTTAATGTTATTTGCGGAGCCAAAAAAACATTTACTAGTTTCTGCTTCTCAGAAATAAGCATCATTGTAAATTGGATAATGTTAAGCTCTGGGAAATGGTGAGTTCTCATGAAAGTTTCATGTTGTCTTATACAGCTATTAGTATTCTGTAATAAACCTCTATGTTAAAAATCAATTATGTAACGCCTAATTGTATGCGTGTGTGTGCGTGTGCGCGCGCGTGTGTGTGTGTAGTTTTGCAGGAGTATCCAGAGAGTTGTGACTGCATACAGACAGATGTCAATTGTGTGGAGGTCAACCTGCAGGATGTTCCTCTGCTCTCTCCGAACGTGACCTGGCTGTAAGTGTCCCCTGACTGTAATGTGTGTATGTGTGTGTGTGTGTGTGTGTGTATTTGTGTCTTTGCACTTCTATATTTGGTATCACCAATCTGAGTTTGAAGCCTCCGCAGTCTCTGTTTCTTCATGGATCTATTTCCGACTTGAACCTGACTTCAGAATGGACGGTGTAGGTTGTAGTTAGCAGCAGAGGATCTGATGATGAAAACTTCAATCCTTTTAGAAATTTAAATGATTTTAACACACAGTACAAATCACAGAGATGATAAAAGTAATTGGTTAATTAAATGTGTGCTTCTTAGTGGCTTATTAACAACAGGATCTTTGACAAAGGGCTTTTGCGGAGCAGAGGAATAAGCTGAAAAAAAGCACCAGAATCCAATTACCATCAAATGAATAAAGATCATGGAGATGTTTAAACTCCCTTTGCCATTTGTTGGGTTTTGCTCTCTGCGCTTTTATAATTTTCAACCATCCTCCTGATTTTTGACCTTTCTGCATTGCACTGCTTTCTTATCTCCCCTTTTTGCTCTTTCAAGTCTAAGTGCCAGCCTGGTCTTGTTTGTGAAGGCTTCTTAAAATTAATTTATTTGAGTGTTTTTTTTTTTAATCAGTAGTTAGTAAAGAAAGTCAAAAACTCTCCTGTTGTCTGTGGGTGCTGGTCAGTGTCTCGGCAGCTGAGCTACACCATGAGTCAGATTTTTATGTGATGGGGGGGGGGTAGCTACTGCATCAGTCACAGCCTCAGAGCAATGCCAGAAACCAGGGTTCACACTTATTACCATCTCCATGGAAACCTGCATCCCCTTGAGCCCACTTCACCAGCAGGTAAATCCTCAGGGACTAGAAAAGCACCCAGCATCAGAAGGACAGTCCAAAGAGCAAGAAGGCTAAAAATGAATTCTCTTGTTTTCTGGTCTTTGTTGAGTTTCGTATTTTGATGATTTGGTTCAGGAACAGAAGTTTATCTTAGTGTCCCACACAATGTGGAAAGTTCAGCCTCATTAGGGAATAGGCTTGTCTGGACAACCTTTGTTTTGTGTATGGATTAGACAAGAGATATGTCGTGTTACAGGTGTTGATGGATTTTTTTTAACCTTTAGAGACAGTCAGATGAAGTATTCTCCCCCACCTCTGGTCTTTATGCTTTACACCGCTGTCCACGTAAAATTATTAAATCAATACAGCTCCTTTACTAATCATTTGTCAGATGTAATTGAATTATTCACATTGACAATATCATAATCACAATGTGGTTTTACCTCAAATCAAACTTTGCTATATTATATTAAAGTGATACAATTTCCATTCAAGGCAAACTCCAAGTAAAATTTACCCAATGTCATTTTAACATAAATATCATCATTAAAACCTAAGTATGTCACATTAATCTAATATGTTTTTCATTAAACTAAATATACCAGCATTACATACAAGTCAGTTTCCTTTATCTGTATGTTAAGATCTCAGACCAAAAATCTGCAACCATTTTCTCATTTCAAACAACTCAAACTGCGATTTAGTTTATTTTACTATCCTTTTTATTTAGTGGGTATAGAGTGAAGAAGAATTCTTTAATCCATTATCTATACCTTCTTATAGAGTCTTATAGAGATTGGTGGGTAATTTTACTGTCTCAACTTCTCTGCATCTAAAAACTCAGTTTAGTTTGAGGACTCATTGCTTAATTGAATCATCCATTCCTTCTCAAGTTGGTCTCTCTGGGGGAAGCCTCACATTATTGATCGCTGTGTTGCCTGAGAAACAATAAAATTACTCAAATTACCCACTTGACCTTCTAAAAGTTGTTCATTTTGAATGATTTTGTTAATTGCAGCGTCATTACTTTCATTACTAATTAGCTTAAAAATCAGTTATATCCTGATCACTTTGCCTCATTTACTGAAGTCAGCAAGTTTCTATTGAATTACTGTAGACTGGTGTGGTGGAGTGGTCATCCATAAAATGGCCTTCAACTCTCACCCACACCTTTTAATCTTTACTTTCAGCTTGATCTCCTGATGTCCTGGTGATTTATCAGCCTCAAAGCACAGCACAGTAACAAACTGGACAGACTTTGTTTCACAGTCTAGAGCCAAACACAACAAAATGTTACTGACTTGTCAACAACTGCTCACAGCTAACACCGGGATCTTTGGGGAGTTTACTTTGGCAAATTTCACCTTCTATATCTGTTTTCCTCCTTCTGTATCTGTCTGGCCTGGCTTAGCTTTCGATTTTAGATTAAGATATGACTCGAAATCCACTTGAGCACAGAATTAGGTCCTCTTGGAATGATTTTCCAAAGTCTGCACACAAAAATTGACTGGGCCTTTGTTGCAACCGCACAGTGGAACACACAGCAAATCGGACCCTTTACTTTTTGTGCACTCAAATGTGTTATTACGTTATTTTTCTGCCTTTGCCTAGTTGGTGAGTGATGTGATTTAGATGAACTGTCTTTGTTCTTAGTTGTTGCTCTTTATACATTTTTACCCTCATATGCTGAATGCATGTAATAACTATCATCAGTCCATCCATCCAGTTTCTACTTCTCAAATACACTTACACCTACTTTCCAAATACACTTAATACCTTTTATTAAATTCCTAAGTCTTCACTACATATACTACGAGTCTGGACAGACATGGATGTAAACTAAACCTTTTTTATGGCTGTGGATATTGTCCATTGTGTTTGCACTGCATCTACTCCCATTCAAAACAAGTTTTTTTGTTCCTGTTTGCTTTTGGTGTGAAATATGAAATCTCATGATCTTTATTTTACCTTCTCTGCTTCCAGTATCACTGGATTATTCTGAAGATTTTAATTAGTTTAAAGTCTGCTGTCATCGTGGAGCTTTAGTTTCTGCTGGTTTTGTTTCTGTGGTTGGTTTTAATGTTTCCTTTTTGGCTGCACCGCAAGAGCAGGGCCAGCCCAGCCACTTTTGGTCTTCAAATTATGTGTTTGGTGATTTTGTCAGACAGTTATAAAATCAGGATTTTAGCCAAACAGAGCAGCAGCTAGGAAATGGCTTGGAAGTTAACACGTAGTCTTCATGGGCCATGTTATAGTCACTATTTCAAACTTGTTCTGTTGTCTGACAACATAAACTGAAGAACATGTAAATGAGAACAGGTTTATTGGAAATTCGGCTGTATTGACAGGTGATGCGTCCGTTACTGTGGAGATTTGGCTGCAGGAACTTTTCAAAAGCCGTTTCTGAAAAAAGCAGCAGTTTATTGCACATAATGCTTCAGACCTTTACTCTTCTCTCACCCTTTCTCTCACCCTTTCTCTCTCTCTCTCTCTCTCTCTCTCTCTCTCTCTCTCTCTCTCTCTATCTGAGTGTATCAGCACTCCAGGTGTCTGTTTATGCAAAATGTGTGTCGTTTTTCTAACATGTGCATTTCCTGGTTTGTGTTACAGGTCACTGAGGAGCAATGAGATCCGAGGGTTGTCGGATTTTGTTTTCTCTGAATACTCTGCCCTACAGAGACTGTGAGTATTTTTGTGCTTGTGTTGCTTTCCACATCCTCACAGTGTACACTACTGCTCAAAAGTTTTAGAACAGCTCAGTTTTTCCAGCTTTTATTGAAATTTACTGTGTCAATGCACTCTGATAGAACAAATAAGCAACTGGAGATTAAAAACAGGGCAAAAGTACCAATATTCATCATGAAGTTTAGTCAGAACTGTGTGGCAGATTAAACCCCATCCTAACACTCAGCCTTCTCGGGTGGATTCAGTTGTTCTTCGGTTATTTCAAGACATTTTAGATGCACAGTAAATTACCATTAAACTGTGTTTCTATTGCTCATGTTTTCTAGTTTCTAATGGCACACATTAAACCATTTAATTTGCTGGCACATTAACGTAATGGAGCTTCACTGTTGCTGCCGTTTTTGCCTGTTCGCCTGTTATTCAGTCGTTGAACTCGCTGTATACATTATTGCAGAACTGACTTGTTGACAGTCCCAATGCTTTGTGTAAGATCTGATTTCATTTTCACACAGTAAATCTTTTGACCAGTCGAGCTTTTGAAAAACAGAGACAAAAGCAGTTTGTGTGCGTTTGTGTTTTTCTTGTATTTTCTGCAGAGTGAATGAGACGAACCAGAGGGACAGTTACTGATGTTTCTGGTGTTTACTCTTTGTGCATCACTCAAATGCTGTAAACTCTCAATAACTGTATTTCGCAAATGCATATGTGCATTGTGATTTTGACGACTGTATAAAAGCCACAGTACATCTGTGCTAATTCAAGTTTTATCTGTTTTTATTATTACCTTTTTACATCTATTACCTCTCATAATCTTTGCAGACACAATGTATGTCACTTCAGCTCAATTTAAATTACTTCATCTCATCCTTGTGCGAGGTAGAGAAAGTAGTACACTAACCGGAAAGTCGTTGGTTCGATTCCTGGCTCCTCTAGTCTGCATTTCAAAGTGTCCTTGGGCAAGATACTGGACCCCAAATTGCCCCTGATGTATCAGTGATGTGAATGTGTGTGTTAATGGCTGAATGTGGCTTCCATTGTGGAGCACTTCGAGTGGTTGATAAAGACTAGAGGAGTGCTATATAAGTGCAGTCCATTTACTAAGTGCAGTTCATTCCCTCAGAAGGGGATTTTAGGGTAAGTGAGTCAGTAAACATAAACACTTTATTTAACCATATAGAAATACAGATATGACAGAGCTGAAATTAAGTGTTAGTGGTTGTAAGACTCTGAGATTAGTTCTGCTGAAGAACTAACTAAATACGGGGCTGATTTCTTAAGATACTTAAGTCCTCTCTTTTCACTGCTGATAAATACTGAAAAAAGCAGTGAAGGGGAAAGACATTGGGACATTTTTGCGTCTCACCTCCATGGTGCATGTTAGGTGGGACAGTGCGTCATCATGCAGGCGTCATTCTCTTGAACGGTTCATAGAAATGTCATACGGATCAGACGATCTGGTAAGAATCAGGGAGCGCCGTCATTTTTGCAGAGAGGAGCACTTTCCTGCATCAATCTGCATATTAATGAGAGAACAGTGATTAGCCATTAATTGCTGTAACCAGATATGCCGTATGCAAAGACAAAGATGTTGATATGAAAGTCTTCGCTTATTAATGAGAATATTGATTTAATTAGGAATAAACGATAAATCGAGGAGAATAAATAGTAGAAACTTCATACTTATACCACAGGCGCTCCATATGCAGTAGATGATCTTATTAGATTTTGCTGTTCCTTGCTGCATGAATTTGCATTTAAATGAGGAAAAACTTTTCAAGTATTCTTGATGAAAAACTACTAGTACTGTGAACATATGTGTGTTGTAATGGTCAAGCTCTCAGTACATTTACCCTAATTTAATTTAATTTCCAATATATTATAGCACTCTCACAAATTGGCATGACTTTGTCCTGACACAAATTAAAGAGAATATCAAGATATCAAGAGGGAAAACCAGCACGGCACAAGCATCCTTCACACTCTGTAGTGAAATATAATAAATCCATCTTCTTCAAGATTATTAATGCCTCCTTTTTGATGTCATAAACTGCCTCCAGATAACATTTAACTACACAGCGTAACGACACGACATAATGTACCATGTCATTATGTGACTTACTGGGTATTTTAAGTGAGAGTCAAGACGACACATTATAGGATTAGAAAAGGTCATTTGAGTCATTTTTTTTGTTCAGCTATGAGGCTCAGAAGGTGAACCATAAGTGGATCAAAGAGGTAAAGCTGCCTTTTTGTTTCAGTTGGTGTAAGGTTTAGCACAATAGTCCAGTGCCTCTTCTTTACTCTTCTTTGCACTTGTGCTTAACACTATGCTTAATGAAGTGGACAATGATGACTAGCTCTCTGGGTCTGTCTGCAGAATCCTGAATAGTAATAGCTTCTAAATCATGAGGAGCACACACATTCACAAACATTTTTCAGATTAAAGGTCGGTAAGTGCTGGTTTGTTATTATTGTGTTTTTAAGTGTCATAATTTGCATCTGCTGATGATTGCCCCCTGTGTGCTGATGTGGAGAAATGTGCTGATTAGTGTATTACCCTGTCACTGTAGTATAAAAAGGGAAAGAAAAGACCTTACACCGGTTGATAATTATGATATTACTCGAACAACAGGGAATTAATCACTTTGACAATCTGTTCAAGTCAAGATTGTTTGTATGTGTGTGTGAATGATGTTTATAATCATGAGCGAGATCAATGGCTTGAGTTGTAGCTGGTGGAGTTTGGCATGAAAGAACAATCCAATAGATTTCCCCAATTATGATCCTGATCCTCACTTTTTCTCTTTTCCCAGGTTTCTTCAGAACAACAGCCTCCACTTCATATCCAAACATGCCTTCAGCGGCCTGCACGGTTTAAAGAAGTTGTAAGTAACCTGCTCACTTCATCAAATAACAGCAGTCATCACATTCTGTCTACAAATACCAAAGAAGCTCCTGAGTAAGTTGTAGAGGTTTTCACCAGAGTGAGAAAAGGTGTAGTTATCTGTGTACTATGCCTGCAACTAATTATTTTTTCCATTATTGATTAATCTCCTGGTTATTTTTTCAATTAATCAATTCATTGATGACTGAAAAGATGACATTTTCAGATGTCTTGTTTTTGTTTTTTGTGTGAAAACCCAAAAACCTTCAGCTTACAATGATATAGGAGAAAGAAAACCTCCAAATCTGAGAAGCTGACACAAGCGAATTTTTCTTAAAACATGATACAATTCATTTCTAATCAAAATAGTTTCTACTGTCAGCTAATTGATTGATCAACTAATCGTTGCTTTGCTGTGTTTCATTTATTACTTTCAGACATAATGACTGTAGGTGTGTTTTTGTGCCCTGTGTGTGTGTGTGTGTGTGTGTGTGTGTGTGTGTGTGTGTGTGTGTGTGTGTGTGTGTGGATCAGGTTTCTCAGTGAGAACTTGATATCCTCCCTCAGTCCTGGTGTGTTCAGGGATCTGCATGAGCTAGAGTGGCTGTGAGTAACACACACACACACACACACACACACACACACACACACACACGCACACACACAGACACACACACACACAACTCTTCCTTTGATAAGTATAAAAAAACAAGTGATAAAAGTTTGGTCAAATTATTGCATGTAATGTAATATTATTGTATATTTTTGTTTGTTTGTTTTTTTTTGTTTGTTGGTTTGTTGGTTTGTTGGTTTGTTTTTTGTGGCAGGGTTTTGGATCACAACCCACTGAGCAGCTTGTCCCAGGACACGTTCATTGGGCTCCAGTCGCTCATGTATCTGTGAGTCGCATCATTTTTTCTTCAACATCATTATCGTCTCTATCGAAATGAGGGAAGTATGAGATTTCTGTTGTGCATGTATCTGTGGAGTTACAGTTTGAAGAAAATGAGAATACAGGTAAATAAACGTTTTAGTCAGACCACAGAGATACATCTGTTAGTTTTTAAATTAACTATAACATTTTAAAATGAAATGAAATCCTCAGTTTTCTTGTACTTTATTTTTTTCTTTTCCTCCAAATGATCAGACGAGAACAAGAGCTTGTCAAATGTCTTCCTGATCATACCCTGTTAATAATTTGTGTAGCTAAATTACACACCTCATTTCATGCTCAGTCACGTCTCTGTGTTATGATGGTGATCAAGTATTGTGTGAGTCAGTGGAGTCTTACACAGGGTGACAGCGTAAGTGGCTCCTGGCAATTTAGTTGTGTTTATTTCATAAGACGGTGAGTCCAGTCACGTCACGGCAAATTTATTTATAGAGCACATTTCAAGATCACGAAATGTAAATTACAATTAAAATAATAAAAAAACTGAATAGATGAACAACATAATAGACAATAAGTCTTGAAGCAGTGACTAATTTACATTAGATGATGCAATAATAGCTTTTAGTAACCTTTGTCCTCTTTGTTTTTCTCCATAATTTACTTTATTTACCTGATTGTTAAATGCTTTAGATACTTAAATTTTGCTGTTGCAGACATGAGGTCAGTTTGCTGTGCTGTGTGTTTTTACAAGAAAATGATTGAATGAAATTTATTTATTTATATTGTTTGAGCTTAATAGAATTAGATTGCTGCAAGATGTGCGCGCTGACTTTCAATTTCCTGTTGTCTAACAAATTATTTCTTTAATAGCTTTCTAGATGTAATCATTTACCCTCACCACTTGTTGTCAGCTGTCAAAACGAGCCACGGGTCTTTTGTTTCCGGGTGTACGCGCTGGAAATGAGAGAGCAACAGTGCAGCAGTTCTGCTCTGCAATGGCAGGAACTTTTAATCTCTGTTTTTTTACAATCAAACCTTCTCCTCCTCTCACCAGGTCCATGGTGGACACCGCGCTGCAGCAGCTTCCTCACCCGAGCTTCTGTCAACACATGCCTGGCTTGGTCTGGCTGTGAGTCTGCTCTGACAGTGTACTTGTGTGTGTGCAGGTGTGTAGTGCATGTGTGTGATTCAGTAGATGGCTGTGCTCTAAAGAATTTAGCAGATAGACGGATGTGTGTTTGTGTGTGTGTGTGGGTGTGGGTGTGCGTGTGTATGTGTGTGTGTTTGTGTGTGTGTGCGTGTGTGTGTGTGTGTGTGTGTGTATGTGTGTATTTGACAATATGAGGATGAGTGGTCCTCCTGACTGCCTGAGAGGTGAAGTGTCCTCGGCTGATGTCACCTTGGTCGGTCAGCTCGACCAGCTATTTTTGGTTTGAGTGTGGACTGGAGAGCAGCCGCCAGAAGAGTCTGACATTGTAATGACCTCATGTTATCTGTAGCTTTTATCTGTTTCTGTTTGCAGCCTCTCAGCATTCATACACACTCCGCTTATTTAAATTCTAAAGCAAACCATGTCTGTCACTTTGTTGCCTTCCCTCTCTGTTTTTTGTCTCTTTTATCACGCTCAAGCAAACACTAGACAAATAAGATATTTTATTCCTACTTTTATGACATTTGGAAACAGTTAATTTAGTTGAAATCGGATGAACTCAAAGAGATACAGAATATTTACATCTGATCACCACATGTTTTTCTGTGTCATTTTTTATTCTGCTTTCAGGGATCTTGAGGGAAACATGATTCAAACTCTCAACTACTCTATCTTGAAGACCTGCAGCAAGCTTGAAGTTCTGTGAGTTTCCTTCCTCTTATAAACATAATGAAAACCAAAACACTTCAAATAACAATCGCTTTTAAGAGTTTACGAAGTTTCCATTCCATTTAGGGAGCGTTCTGAAGTTGCCCAAAAGATAAACTACAAAATTAGGTGCTTTTCCATCAGCTGGGACGCAGTACATGAGTTGGTTTTCTAAATGCAGCTACATCAGACTCCCTCGCCACATCAATCGGTTACTGAGCCATTGTGTGCCACTTACACCATATTGTCTTCACGAACAAAACACTTCATCTTCTTCAAGTGTTTGATATCAATTTTCCATTATCTTTATATTATTATTACATGAATGAAAGATTACATTATTATTCAGTGCCATGTTTTCACTGGTCTCCTGTTTTCATGGTAATTTAAAGTGAGTTATTCTTCTAAAGAAGCTGGCAGTGTATCTGAGAGTGTTATCAACTTTTCTACAAAGGTTTACATTTTGATTCAAATTCAAGTAATTCGATGAAACTTTGGAAATATCAGACTTCGAGCCGACTGTGACTCCAGCAGCTTCAGTATTAAAACCATTGCATATAGGTCAAGAGAACTCTTGCGTATAAACACACAGTTATTCAATTATTACATTTTCAGTGTAATAGGAATTGATCAATTACCTTGTGTACTAACCCTGGGGAAGCTTTTAATTGCTCTGTGTATCTCCTCTGTGCACAAACACAATCTGGGTTTGGTGTTTCTGTTCTGTTTCATGTTGAACACTAAAAGGTGTTAAGGTGGTCAGCTTGATATTCATTCCTATTGTCTGAAGTAATAATGTTCCAGACACACCACTTAAACCTGAATGTTTTCTCCACTTTATTTCCGATGCAGTTTCTCCATTTCTCTCTCTCTCTCTCTCTCTCTCACTCACACACTCATGCAAGACACATTTGTCTGCTTTTACATCATTTCATTAGTGAACACAAACAAGAGCAAACACTCGGCAAAGTGCCCAGTTCCATCACATTTCTAAGACGTGGGTCAAACGAGGACACAAATAGAAAAAAAATCTTCTCCAAAAAGTGGTGAGGGGCAAAAACTACAGACACAGCAGAGCCCTGCAAACGTTCGTTTTCACACCAGTTATTCATTAATGTGAAATCTTCATTCACAAAGCACTTTTCAAAACAAGGGTAAAAAGTTTGCAATTTCAAAATTACACAAACAAAATAAAACCGTGTCTTCACACAGATATTAGAGTAACTTTTAATTTCCCCAATTTAGCGTAAACTAATGTAGTTGTGTCAGCAGATAGAAGTGTTTATTAATGTGCCTGCGACACCCGGAAGTGGATGCTGTTGTTTAAACAGAATACATAGTTAAACCTGCTCGTACAACAACATGCCACAGATTAATAAAAAACTAACATCCAATAAATGTGGCAACAAGACAACACTCAGACTGAGTGTAATGTGCATATACCTAAAAACCTTTAAGCACAGAGTACACTACAGTGCACAAGTAAATACAGATGAAACACCTAAAATAAAGCATAAAACATTAAAACATACAGAGCTAGACTTGTGGCTTTTAGAGACACATTAAAGTAGTAAACTTCAAAAGCAGTGGAGCGGGTTTGAGCCCTGTCCGAGGGCCTTTACTGCATTTGATCCCCTCTCTCTCTCTCTCTCTCTCTCTCTCTGTCTCTCTCTCTCACTGTGTCCATCGAAATAAAGGCAAAAATGCCTGAAATAATAACTAAAAAAGATCGGTTCCTTTTTTGTCATTTCAGCAACTTGAAAATGTCACAATGCATTTACTTGGAACAAACTTTGATTTCTGTAATTCCCCTGAAACTGCACTTTGGAGGGAAAATATCTCCTGCCTGCAGCTACAATACGAATTGCTGCTGTCGGTGCACCAGTCTATCTTTAAATGTGGCTGTACTCCTGTGCCACAGTGTGACTGTACAACCTCGTCACAGTGAACATCAGAGGAAAAGCCAGAATCTAAAACTACACCTAAATAAAAGTCATGAAGGCATCCAGAGTTCACCTGTAGCTGTTGATAATGTTCCAAGAAACAAATTGAAGGCTTTCAGGGTTGGCGTCATTCACCTGAAGGACATTTGCAGACATGCAGCACTTAAGACACATTTTCATCATCACCAGGTTTCACCATGGCTGCCAAACAGAAATACAAGCTGTCTGCTTTGATTTGCAAGCCGTGTGACGACATTAATGACAGGTGTTTAAAAACCTTTGTGAGGTATGCTTTCACCACCCTATAAAAGTACACCCCACTCCCAAAACATGAATGTCTCTGTAGTAACAAATTCGGTCTTCCTGTAGTTTTCAAGCCACCCAGTGATCACAAAGCTCCCTCACACAAGCTGGTGTAGAAAGTCGGTGCCTTTATAAGTCCCAGTTATAACATCCTCAGAAACATTTACAGGCCTTGCTGTCGTCTTCTAAGGGTTTTTTTTATTACTAGTAGCAGAGAAATGGGTTTTTGAACAAGATGTAAACCTTTTCTCACTGGGGACAAATTATAAAGAACAAGATGAGTCATCCAGATACACTGACATCTGTGTGTGTGTGTGTGTTTGTGTGTGTGTGTGTGTGTGTGTGTGTGTGTGTGTGTGTGTCTGTGTGTATTTTACTAGCCAACTCTGTCTCTGTGGTTATGTCTCATCTGCTTTCCATTCAAGAACTAAACCAATGTGGCGTGTCTCTTTTATTGGAGACATTTCCGATCATTTGTGACTTTTATCTGCACCATGTCTAAACCTAACATGGAATATGTGGCCATAAATAACAGGAAGTTCGACAGTTTGACCCCGGGGTAACAGCGGCTGTTTGTCTCTTATTGATGCCGTTCACATGTCCTTGAGCAAGGCAGTTATCTGCCATGTGCCCAGGTGTTGATGCTCTGTAGTGTGTAGTGAGTGTGAATATGGGAATGTGTAGAAGGCTAAAAAATGTTTTATATAAAGTGTTGTTGAGTGTTGAGTCAGTGTTAACGTAAGGAGCATTGTGGGAAATGGTAACCATATATCTCTGATACTGCTACAAATGAGATTGTATCCAGTCCCAGCAGGGATCCACCACGGGGGATCGAAACAACACTTTGTAGCACTCTGCATGGTTTCTGACAGCAGCTCTGTCCTGTTCAGATTGCTGATGGACAACAGGATACAAACGGTTCCTGAAAACACCTTCCAGTCTCTGTGGAAACTGGCTGAACTGTGAGTTGACACCACATCTTTCTCATTCTGCTCACATAATCAATTAGATTTAAATCCTCTGAAAGTAGATAATAATAGGCAGTTTAATGAGTTACTGGGTTTCAGGGAAAATTTAAATGTGTATTATATAAAGGTCTATAGTGGAGTTTCTTGCCGCTGACTGAGAATGGATTTTTCTCAAATTTGGTTAGTTTATAAACTAGCAGTAGAACTTTTTCCAGCTCTATCTAAAATATCTAATCATGAAAACATCATACAACAATTCATTGTTTTCAGCTATTTACATAAAACACACTGATCAAACTATGGGAGCTGCTGTTTATCATTACTTAGTGGTTAGGACGAATCAATTCCCAAAATGTTAGAGAAACCACATGAGGTCTGGATTAGTGAATTATGTAAATTACATCTCACCATTTAATGAAGTTAAAGTTGATTATGTTAATTCATGGATGGATCCCACATTGGCCACATAGGAATATGAAAGCAGTGAGTTTGTTTTAACTCGCACCAAAATGTGTGTGATGTTAGGATTCTGAGATTTTCTGAGCAAGTAGGATGAATAAACAACCACAAATAACAAATGGTTTGGATTGAAATGATGACATATAGGAAACGACATTTGAAATGAACATAAAAGGATAAACGATTCATATAAAAGTCTATATAAAAATAGAGCGCTGTGTTAAAATGAAGCTGATGGATAGAAATGCGACAGAAGTGATGTTAGCTGAGATTTATTTAGTCAGTATATGTTATGGATAAATCCCAGCAAGGCAAATAAAACAGTAAATGCTCAGATGATTTCCCTGCTCATGATGAACAGTAGTGTTTCTTAATTTGATCCCTTGTTCTCAAAGACAAGTTGGGAAAGAAAATTGTGTCATTTAAGAAGAAGTTTGGTTCATTTTATGTGTGAATTAAGTGTCTGTGTTTTGATTTAAAGACTGTGTTGTTAACAGTGCTTTGCACGCGTTTTTCATTTTGCTTGTGTCCGTTTTCCTTCTCTTTTTCTCTTTCATCCTGTTTAGGGATCTATCCAGCAACAGGATCAGGGAGCTGCCAAAAAACACCTTTAAGAGCCTTTCCAAGTCGCTCCTCAAACTGTGAGTAACTTGTAGTTTGTGTGAGGATTATAACAGGAGAGGATTAAAGTGAAATGATAGACACATCACTCGGATCTCCAGTTTTGAAGTTACATTCAGAGACCATGTCCGTATCTTACTGGTAACTTTGCACTTTATTTGGATAATTGTGTACTTTACTCTCCTACATTTATATCTGACTGTTAAAGTTAATAGTTACTCTACAAATTAAGATTTTACATAGTAAACACACATTTTTCTTATGATATTTCATATTAATTTACTTTTACGCTGTAGTTTTGCACCTTTTACTTAAGTAAAGGCTCTCAATACTTCTTCCATCTGAGTGGCCAAGAACCAAAATATCAAAAATGGAGCAGTCGGTCCCCACATGATGAAAACTGTGCCGTAATCTGCATCTTGTTCAAAACAACATAAGGACAAAAAAAAATGGATGGATGAGATGCTTGTGATGGAAATTTGCCTGCAACTATTAACATTTCTGTTACTTTTCAGTAGAAAGCTTAACTAACAGCTGCTCGCCAGCAGAGCTAGCAACACTGCCAGGCAGAGCACTGCCTCATGAATAATACCATTATAAAGTTAATGAGCTCCAAACAGTTTCATTAGTGTTGAGCGTGAGGCGCTGCAAAACAAATTACATCCAGTAAAAAAATATCAGATGTGTTTTATAGACATAGCGTTGTTATTCTTGTTTGTCTTAGGACAAACTCCGCTGTCCTAAGAGTCTGAGTCTGAAATGACTTTCACACAAAGTTTGAATGATCTTGACAGAAAGAGTTTTTTAATGTGTTGCATGTTCAGCTGTGTCGTGCGGCGGAAGAGTAACCTGTGGGTCAAAGTTGTAGTTTCTGGTTGGATGGTTCACAAAGTTAGTTGAATATGTTTTTTTTTACTGTGGCTTCACCTGAACACATCCTCCAGCATGTTGAGAAAAGGCGCGCTGCAAAGTGGAATAATGCAAAAAAAAAAAAATTATTTTACTCCAATGTTTCATCTCAGTGATCTTACACCGCTTAGTAATTTCACAACAGTTTAAGGCAGAACTCTGGTCTTCTCTGGTCGTCTGGTTTTGATGTTTCTGCTTTAACACAGCATGACAGTGTTGAAATACCCACACAGAGAAGACTGTGTGATTTGTGATTCGTATATGGTTTTAATTCGCCCAATTTTTACACATCACTGTTAAAACTGTCAGTATGTTGCACTGAATCAGTTTCTCTTTCAATATGCGAATTTACAGGCTGATATTTTGACAGCACAGATGTTTCATATTGTGAGAATAACTCAGTATCAATTTGGTCTGCGTGGTGTTGGTGCCAGCAGCACTTTAGAAGTTTGAATGCAGTGACAGACCCTGCAGAAGAGCCCCGGGGTGATCTATGGCCGTACGTGCGCTACATGATAATGAGGCACAGACAAATGCTTTCACAGACCCAACGCTCTCAATTAAAAAAAAAAAAAAAATGATGTGAATTGGTTTAGAAGTGTGTTGAGGAAATATGAAATCTTTCAAAATATCTGAGTCGGATATTGCAGGGGTAGATGCTGCTGCAAGAGAATAGACAATATAACAACAGAGGGGATATTAAACTGTGATCGAGAACTTTTTGTGGCTTTGCTTTATCTGCAGTGCTGCATTAAATTACTTTTTTATAATGTTGGGGATAATAAGCAGAAGAAGTAAAAATAAATCTGAAACCTACAGCAACACCAACTAAAAGTATCCATACGCTGTTCATTGGTGGTTACATACAGATATAGATTCAGTTTTATTACATTGAGTTTTACGCTGTAATTGTAGACAATTAGGACATAATGCGTTAAGTATACAGTGTGAGGTTGGACTGAACATATAGAAATCATAGGTTGGTTTTCTATTCAGCGATAAACAAAGACCATCTGGATTTTACCGTCGTTTCACCACGTGTTACATTTCATCCTGACGAGCTTCACTGAGTTCGTCATTGTCTGTTTCTTGTTGCAGAAACGTCTCCCACAATCCCCTTCTCCTAATTCACCCCAGCCACTTCCACCACCTGGCGCATCTTCAGTCTCTGTGAGCACACGCACACGCACACACACACACACACATACACACACACACACACACACTTACCCACCCCTCCACACTGTTTGCTGCAGCCTGTGCGGTGATGAAATATTCTCTGTTTTCTACAGGGCGCTGGAAGGGATAGAGATCCCAGATATTCAGACTAAGATGTTCCTGCCAATGAAGAACCTGTCTCACATGTACGTACGAGCCCACACAAGAATCATAACCGCTCACATCTATCACTGAGTAATCACGATGTCTCTTCATCTTTCTATCTCCTCCAATGTATGTGTCATTTTTTTGTCTTTCTTCTTCTCTCTGTCAGATACTTTAAGGAGTTCCAGTACTGCTCTTACGCACCTCACGTCAGGTCCTGTAAGCCCAACACAGATGGCATCTCATCCTTTGAGGACCTGCTGGCTAATATAGTGCTGCGGGTGTCCGTCTGGGTCATGGCCTTCATCACCTGCTTCGGTAACCTCTTGGTCATCGGCATGAGGTCACTGATACGAGCGGAGAACAATCTGCATGCTGCTTGCATCAAAGTGCTCTGCTGTGAGTAGCCGCACGCATTGGTTCGGTCTGATTATCAGGCGAGGAGGCAAATACTTTGATATTAAACACACAGTATGTAACTTCTGCCTCTAGGGGTCTCTCATTCAAAAGAATAACAAAAGACGGCGCTTGGTGACGTTGTGACGTAGCAAGGGATCGTGGGAGTCAACCTTCATCACCATTGCCATCAGCTTCTCCCAGTTTGAATTCCTTCAGTGTCAGATGTTCAGGAGAATTTTAGCGGGAGCTGAATTATCCACAGAGGTGGTAAAGTAGTACTAAAGTAGCAATAATAGCAGTTTCACATTTAAAGTCAGTGTTTTGCCGATGGTGTACGATGGACACATGATGTCAGGGATGGGCCGGGCGCTAACCTTTGTTTCAGTTGTTTCTCTGATAACTTATGATCCAGACGTTCAGGTTTTTACCAGCAGCTGAATTATTCACAGAGGTGGCCTTTTGTCCACGGCCGACAGACCAGGGGATTAAAACCGGTAGAAATTCAGTATTTCATTGACACTCTTCAGTGAACACGGGACATCAGGGCGGAGCGGGGAGATGAACTGCCTAACATTTGCTTGGCTTTTTTCTCCGTTAACTTAAGATCCAGACATCAGATAATTAAAATCCTTCATCCGGTTAAAATATATAGTTGAAAATGACCAAAAAGTGTATCTTAGAAATGTGGCTTAAAACTGGAGAAAAAGTTAATTTTGACCTTCTGGCATGCCGATCCGTGTGTGGAACACTGCGGGAAACACTCACAGAATATATAGCATAGGTCTAGTTGTTTTTAGGCATTTTAATGTGGAAAGGTTATATATTTATAGCTTGAATAAAGTGGAGGCTGTCCTAGAGTCAGGAATAGCTCAACTTCAGCAAATGCAGCAGCAGGGATCAGTGGGTTTGTAGGCCAATAAAAGCACTGTTATCCAGACTGGTGCAAGATCAACCACCTGTTTTATTGCAATAAAAACATTTGTGAAATGAGGCATCAGGTGGAGCAAAACTGCACCATCTGCGCCTGACTGTGTAAGCAGTGATCACAGTACTTCATGTATGAATTACTTTATCACACAGGCAGAGGAGTGAACTGCTCATAGTGTGTGTCGTAAATAGACGCTAATGGTTCAGCCTTTTCTGGAGCTAAATGCAACGTGTGATAGTATATGTTAAACACCTTGTATTAACGCATTGATTTCATGTGAGAAATACCTCTGAATAAACTGAACCATCAGAGGGAAAATTTGCACGGAACAGGAACCTTTAGGTTATGAGCTTTAGCGGTGATTACATCAGGATTTATTATTGATCTTGAATCTTTAGCAGCAGTATTGTTATTAATATCTCCTTGAGATTACAGCAGTGAACTGGATCTGTATAGTTCAGCATTCCTGGTAGATTTTTCTCCTGTCTCCTGTCACAGTGATTCCTCCTTGTTTAATGGAGAGTTGTGCAGGTAAAAAAAAAAAAAAACGATGATCAACAAGATTGTTATTGTTGTAGTTGCCCTGTCATTCTTACAGTTATAGTTATTATTACACAGCTGTTTTATGTATATGTGAAAGATAAAAGACTGAGGGACTGTAGCATCAAATCAAACACTCAGGTGATTGGAGTGAGTGGAAATATCTTCAGGTTTGCTAGTTTTATACCTTGTATGAACACAAAGACAGCACAGCACAGCAAGGATTCATTTCTATTTCATTTTGGATAAGTAATTCACAAGTATATAAATCCAGTTTGGAAAGGGATAAGAAGGGATAAGATTTATTAAAAATGAATGGAAATGAAATTCAACATAGCACAGAGGGTGTGCTGTATAAATCAAAGACGAGCACTTCAAAAGACTGATCCTTTCTGACAGGGATGTGAGTGCGTTTAAGAAAGCTTTTCTAAAAAACAAAACAAATCTACTCACCTATTGTAACTCCCTCATCGTGCACCATTTGTTTCCTCTCTTCTCAGTTCCTTATTCTCACTCAGTTCTCTTTTTTTACTTCTCTTGTCAGCCTCAAACCTGTCACTCTCTGACCCTCCCGCTCACTCCTCTTCCTCCTTTGGGTTCTGCTCATCCTCCTGGCTTCACCTCCCTCGCTCTGCTCTCTCACCTTTTCATTCAGGTTATATCTTTTAAAGAAAAAAAAAAAGTAGTGTGAACCCTTTGTCCTATTATTCTTATTTTTAATCTTGTTGTGCAGACTCTCAGTGTGGCAGGAAAACTAAAAAGAAGAGTCACGGTGGCTTCCTTAAGTCTTAAATTGACTGGATGACTCATCGACTTTCTCACCCACCCACATACAGTGACAATCAATTATGCAGTGCGTGTGTTAGTGTCCCATACAAGTGATAACTCCTGTCTGCTCTGGAGGGCAGAAATAATCTGTTATGTGCATTTTAATGAGAAATTTTGGGCTCTGGCTACAGGAGGTGCCACCAGCTGAGAGATGGACCTGAACACCTGCAAACCCACACAGAGCACTTCTCTCCGTAAATGTGCTCTTCTATGTCACTATCTCTTGTCATCCAGGTGCAGACTGCCTCATGGGTGTGTACTTGTTTTTTGTTGGAGTGTTTGATGTAAAGTTTCGCGGGCAGTACAATCGTAACGCCCTGCTCTGGATGGAGAGCGTAGAGTGTCGGACCATTGGATTCCTGGCCATGCTCTCCTCAGAGGTAACTTAATATAGATTAATATATATTATATTCCACACATGTTTGTGTTTTTTTTAAGATCCTAAAATCTGCTGAACCTGCTTTTTTACTGATATCAGCCATTACTGCTGTTGGTGCTTCCAGCATTATGACAGCCCAGTCATATATTCAGCTATAGACGCTGAATAAAGCTTTAACAAAAGCACCTGAAGGCGCAGACAAGGAGACTGCATTTGTACACACTGGAAATCTACCACAGCAATAAATCAGATTAATGTTGTTGCAATTGTTTATCTGAAGCAAGTTTCAATCCTCCTTAGAAAACAATGTCTATGTGCAGGGAAGGAAAATGATCTATACCTAAGATTATAATGAGTGTTTTCCTTCAGGTGTCTGTTCTCCTCCTGACCTACCTGACTATGGAAAAGTTCCTGGTGATCGTCTTCCCCTTCAGCAATCTGCGCCCGGGCAAACTTCAGACTGGGGTGAGCTATGCTGCTAATACAGGAAAAGAATCTGATAAATCTGCTACATGTCTTATTTTCACATGAATTTGTTGGAGTCTTGTTGTTGTTTGTTGTGTAAAATAATCATTTGATGTGAAAAAATTGCATTTGCTGCTGTGGGAGTTTGCGGAAATGTGCTGTTCCGCTCCAGTGGGCTCAGTATGAAACACACTGAACTGTAGATGTAGCCGCATTTAGAAATAGACAAATTACATGGAGAGCAGATCCTAATTACAGCAAGGTAGAGCCAGGAAAGCTGTTTAATTTGTGGAGGTGAGGGATCTCAGCTTTGGGTCAGAGAGTCTTTGCTACACTAGCTTTATGTTTGGATAAATGCAAAAATGCAATTGAAAAATTCAATACAAATGACACTACTATAACTTTATTAGTACAGCTGAGGCAAACATGCTGTCACTTGACTCTCCTGGCGCATGTGAAAACATCTAATTAGGAACTCTTTATAAAGATGGAGATTAAAAGATTAATAAAGATCCTCATCAAAACAGCTCTTCATTTTTTTTACCTTTTAGCTTCAGGAAGGAAAGAAAACTCTCAGTTCAGCTCAACTTCTTCAAACACTGAAAAACGTAATGACCACATAAAGATCACAAATGATCACAGACATATTCATATATGTCTAAAGCATAGTGTAACTTCAGCTGTTTCATTTGCGTTTCCTGCCCCAGCCTCTTCTTTATTTGCTATATTTCTGTTATTTTTGAAGAAACTGAGATCAATGTTTGTTATGGGGGATTAGTTCTCCAGCAGAATCCTAACTGCTGCTTGTTCTCTGAGCGTTCCCTTAAAGAGCAGAGCATTTTCAGCCAAATCCAACAGTATAACCATTTGCTTTAAATGCTCCTGCATCCATCTGACTGAAAGAGAGTCCGTCTGCTCTGTGAGGAAGTGCAGACTGCCTCATGGGTGTTTTTTGTTGGAGTGTTTGATGTAAAGTTGGAGAGGTGTAGAGTGTCAGACCACTGGATTCCTGGTCATGCTCTCCTCAGAGGTAACTTGATATAGACTAACATCCCACTCACAACCACACACACAAACGTTCAGGCAGACACATCGCACCTGCTCTGTAAAATGGAATCTGTGAGACACAAAAAAACGTATTCACTGCAATGCATATTCCACTTATGTCTGTGTTCTTGTTAAACTCTTAAAATCTGCTAAACCTGTTTTTTCACTGATCCCATATCAGCTATTACTGCTGTTGCTGCTTGCAGGATTTTGTCAGCCCAGTATTCAGCTATAGGCGCTGATTCTCTCCAGGGAGAATTTGACTGTCACCCATTTCTGCTAATAAAGCTATGTTGCATGCCTACAGGCAGTGATGGGTTCATTTTAGATTTAACCCTTACATACCTTAATTCATTCTCGATAAATCTAGGGATGCAACAATCTGCTTTTTATCCAACCAATACTGATTGGCCTCAAGGCACAGAGTCTGAGGATCCAGTACTGATCAAACACCGGTGCTCTGCTTTGTGTTTGCCAGATTTAAAGTCTGTAAACTTCACTGCGTGGAACTGATGCCATGCACAGATTTCTGAGTCAGTCTGTGCACAAAAAACAGTGGACTCCTTTATCTAATAGATAAACAAGCACTTTTCTGAGCAGTGATCAATGGAAATATCCCACTAACAAGTGAAAACATCTAATTAGGAACTCTTTATGGAGATGGAGATTAAAAGATTAATGAAGATCTTCATCAAAACAGCTGTTAATTTTTTGACCTTTTTGCTTCAGGAAGGAAACAAAACTCTTGCAGAGCCCTCCTTGGTTCAGCTCAGCTTCTTCAAACTTTGGAAAACTGTATTGATATATGTATAAAGCATTGTGTGGGCTCAGGCATAACAGTTGTTTCATTTGCTTCTACTGTTGTAGCTTCCTCCACAGCCCCAGCCTCTTCTTTAGGTGCTATATTTCTGTTATTTTTGACATAACTAAGATCAATGTTTGTTATCAGGGATTAGTTCTCCAGCAGAATCCTCACTGCTGCTCGGATTCTGAGCACTCCCTCAAAGAGCTGACCATTTTGAACCAAATCTAATTCATAGCCATTTGCTTTAAATGCTCCTGTATCCATCTGACTGAAAGAGAGTCCGTCTGCTCTGTGAGAAAGCTCTGCCACCTACTGTTGGCTTTCTCAGTGAGTCCAGATGGAGGTACAGCCCGAGACGTCCCATGTCAGTCAGAAGGAGACAACTAGACTGAACTTAATGTTTGTAGTAAGCTCAGTCAGTGAAAATGTGGAAATCAAAGTGATGAATTTTCTTAAATTATTTTTCATTGTTGGCTTTGAAGAGTATCCTGGTAGAAATTCTAACAACATGTTTGTCATTCTGCTGCTAGGTGGTCCTGGCCTCTATCTGGTTACTGGGGTTCATTATTGCTGCTGTGCCCCTAATGAATGAGGACGTGTTTGGAAATTATTATGGACGTAACGGAGTCTGCTTCCCCCTGCACTCTGACAGGCAAGAAAAACCTACTGCCAAAGGATATTCCACAGGGATTTTTCTGGGTAAATTTAAGAAAACAACAGTTGTTTTTTCCCCCAAAAAGCTTATTTTACAGTCAATACAATATTTAGCAATTAAAGGTTCTATATGTAACATTTAGAAAACCCTTGTTTTCAATGTCACCAGTGGCCGATGAGTGAACTGCAGTCAGCATCCTGTTGCTCGCACACATGTGTAGGTAGCCACAACTGAGCATTAGGGGCATTGACCAAAACAGTGACATGATGATCAGACTGGGAGAGAAATTCTGCCCTGTATAGTGCTTGGCGATTTAATGATTACCAGGAGAAGAAGAATGAGCAGTCTACCCTTCTGTTGCTTCCAGACCGCAGAGTTTTGAATGGGTTAATTGGGACTGAGAGACCAGTGGCAACGTAACGGCGAGTGCATGGAAGGAACTTCTATCGTGGCAGCGGGACTCCCTGGACATATCCGCTGGAACATGAACGCAACACTCTATCATGCGCACCCTGAATGACAGGCACACAGGGAGGGCCAGTGAAGAGGCTGACGGGGATGGTAAAAACTCTCCAGTGTTGGCACAGTGCTAAAATGTAGTGTGGAGATAGGTCTGCTTATGCGAGACTATAGTTTGACTAATGTTCTGTTTTTTTGAAATGGGATTTATAAAGATGTTGATGCTGATGTAGACCCTAGTTCTCCCCAGACGTTCCCATTTGGCCAAAAGGGCTTCACTAGATAAAACTTTTTTGTGTTTTTTTGTGCTTACATGAAGTTTGTGTTGGAGTCTGTGTTGTACTGGGAGCCAGTTGTTTGTTGACGTTAGCAGACTCCATTTCTAAGCTAACGTTTGCTAGTGTTGTTCACTGTTGGCGCTGTAGCGGGGCAGAAGAGAGGCATTGAGGCAAGGCACTTGGGAGTGAGCGTAAACGTTACATCCTTCCGATTTTCTCAAAAAATTTGGCCAGTCCTTTACATAGAAATCAATGCACAGGCTGTTGTCGTGGAAGGTTGGGAAGGTTTTATTTTTCAAGTTGGTTTACAATTCGTTCACACATTGACAATAAAAAAAAACAATTACTACATGTAAATTGCTTCACATTCTTACATATAGTACCTTTAACTAAAAAGTTGGTTGTAGCTTTTTTTGGTTTGTTTTTAGCATTTGAGGGAAATTGACGTGTTCCGTTATTAATACAGTACTATGCAAAAGTTTGAACTGAATAAAAATGAGCTCAAACATACAGGCAGAGCCATGAAGAAGAAAAAGGACTCCTGCAACAGATGGTATGGCCCCACACAGAACCTACCAGCTGAGCACATTGTGTGCCAGTGTACCCAGGAGAGCTGGTGCTGTTTTTAAAGGCAAAGGGTAGTCGCATCAAGTATTCATTTGATTTGTTTTTTTTCTGTGTACTGCATTTTACTTGATTAATAAAAAATATTGATGGCATTACTTTTGGAAGTATCTTCACTTTACTTTTAGTTCCTAAAACTTTTGCACACCTTGGAGTGATTAAATGCACAACACACTGTGATTAGATAATGATCTTTTAATCCAATAAGCCATGCTGTGTCTTATCATGGAAACATGGAAATTAAAACTTCTGTAAAACACTAAATGAAGGAAACAAAAATACTGCATGATTTGTATTTAATAATGTGTAGGTAAATACGATGCAGTTTTTTTTTTGTCTTGAAAGTTCCAAGAGAAAACTGATCTCACTGTAACTGATATTGTTACACATTGTCCCTGTATGCCAAACAACTACCAGAACAGGGAATAGCATTGCACCTTAGCTTAGGCTGTTACACAGCAAAAAGCATGGCTCCATCAACAATGCATGATTAGTCTGGGGTCTTATTACTCAGTGTCCTCACTGAGAACCAGTGGAAGTCTGTCTGGCAACAGTGATGAAGATATTCAGTCTAAAATGGTGCCAGCGTTTATATCACAAGGCTGTTAAAATAAGAATCCTGTGAATTAATATGAAGAGGTGCTGCTTGTTGTTTCATCACTAAAATCAGTTTAAAGTGCATGCGTGAAATATTCAAATATGTGTATGTGTTTGAGGAAGTATGCTGTATATACTGTACTTGTGTCGTATGCACATCCATGTAGTGGTGGAATGTAACTAAGTAGATTTATTTTACTTAATTACAAGTTTGTATTATTATTACTTGAATATTTCAATTTTATGTTACTTCATACTTATACAACTTTTCAGAGGGAAATATTGAACTTACTGTGGTTGCTAATTATGTAAGATTACATTTTTATAAAAAGTAAATAAAAAAAAAAAACAAGAGAAGATGACCTTATAAAATACAGTGGACTGTTAAAAAATAAAACCAGTGGATCTCTTTTGGCCTTTGACCCTTCACACAAAAGACATAAATAAGTAAATAAAATAATATCATGATTATGAAAAAAAAAGTCCAAAAATTTCATACAAATGTGTAACAGATTGGTAAATCTAATAATAATAATTATAATAATAATAATAATGATAATGTCTATCAAAATATCAGTTTCAGGGGCCAATGTTCTGCAGAATGGACACTCTGTACACTTTTAAGTACAATTTGCTGATGATACTTTTAGTTAAACAGGATTTTGAATGAGTGACTTTGACTTGTATTTGTGATTTAACTGAAGTAAAGGATCTGAACACTTCTTCCACCACTGCATTTATGTGTGTGAATAGCATGTGCCTTTCCTTAGGTCTGAACCTGGTGGCATTCCTGGTGATCGTCTTCTCCTACTCCAGCATGTTCTACTCCATCTATAAAACTGGCATCAATGCGACAGACCTGAGGAGCAGACTTCACAGAGATGTGGCTGTGGCCAACAGGTTTTTCTTCATAGTGTTCTCTGATGCCCTCTGCTGGATTCCTATATTCCTGGTGAAAATCCTCTCACTGTTGAAGGTGGAGATACCTGGTAAGAAATGAAACATAACTTGGTGTTTTAGGCTACATTTACATCTTAGACATTTTACAATAATTACTTTCACATGTCACTATATCACCCTGCCATCAGTGTTGTATTGTTTGAATCCTTTGGTCATAGAATGGTATTATGGAAAGCATCCACTTCTAAAAAATTTTTACTACTTTTCTCCTGGTCTCCTTTAGGAACCATCTCCAGCTGGGTGGTCATCTTCATCCTTCCCATCAACAGCGCCTTGAACCCCATCCTTTACACCTTGACCACCAGCTTCTTCAGAGAGCAGGTGGAACTCTTACTCTGTCGCTGGCAGAGGAGACACATCTTGAAAAAAGACCGCAAAAGCCTCACCTCCTCCACAATCTTCATGGAGATGTCACGGGCTCCTTGCTACCAGCAGCCAGCCTACCTCCAGCGGGTGTCGCTGACCGGCGCAGATCCTCGCTATGCCTGAGGGAGGCCACAACTTTCCTGGTAAACTACGGGTCAAGGGTCTAAAACTGCTAGATCTTACGTGACAATTGCACTAGCACTGAGTTTGGCTTCCAACTGGAACAAGATAAACAATCACTGAGCTGTCTCATTCTGTTCTGACATCCTCCACATTTTGTAAAAAAAATTACAACGATTAGACGCTTTTGTCCAAAGCAGTTTACCGTTTTTCTTCAGTGTCTCCATCCAGGGAGCCAGAGATCAAACCATCAACCGACCCACGTGAGCTACAGTCGCTTCCATACTTTCATGCTTATACGGCCATACATTTGATATTGTTCCAGGGGAACATATACAACAACAAATAGGAATAGCAAAGAAAGGGGGATGGATGAAAGAATAAATAAATAAATAAATACCAACACGTAGTGTACAGTGACGTAAAATGTCATAAGTCAAGCAAGATTCAGTTGTTTTGGTCGGATTTTGGAGCTGGAGCAGGAGGAGGAACTGGGAGACCAGCAACAAAATGTCTCACAGACTCCATTTTCTATGGAGTGACTGGAGGATGAAGCTCGCTGAGTCACAAATGTGAAGCTCATCAGATGCTGAGCTGATAGATTCAAGGATTAATGGTTTCAGTCTCAACAAAATCAAAGAATGACTCTTGGACTGCACAAAATGTAGCACTCCGACATTCTTTATGGAATTATAAAGCTTGCTTGCAAATGAAAATGAAAACCAGCTGTTTCATTTAATGTGTGCAAAAATTAATACATATTTGAAATCCAAATGCTAAAACCCGGTTTTAGCATTTTTTATTTCATCCAAATGCAAATGCAAAGTCAACTTTACATGTCATTACAATATCTTCCATGACACAATTCAGATTCAAATTAATGCAGTTAACGTTATGTGCTCACTATGCTATCCAAACAATCCATTACAGTTATGATGCCCTCTGCTTCCTCTCACTGTATTTCTGCTCTTCTTATTCTGTCTTCTCCTTCTGGTAATTTCTCATGCTCCATCAGATGTTGGGTTTACAGGCCTGATTACCTTTTCTGGTTGGATTTAATTTTGAATACGCCTCTTCTAGATTCTCCTCCTCACAAGAATGTTGAAATGAAGCTGCAAAGGAAGGAGTGCATTTGCATTTTGGCAGGTTTGATGTATATATCCAGCAAAATTATTATATAAATGCAACAAATGTTTAATTCATGAAACAAATCTGATTATGAAATGTTTAATGGCACATTAACTGATAATGTTTTACACAAATTATGATTTTATTAATGATAAAGTTTAAATAGTTTGTCCATTAATTAAATTTTTGACAGGTTCGTGTTGAAGGGCAGAAGAACATTAAAATTTTCCTACCAACATTATACTAAATGTCATGGTAAAACAAAAAAAGAAAGAAAATGACTATGTAAACTGGGCTTTTGCATTTGCATTATGTCAAAACATAAAAATTAAATCTAATTAAAAATGTGAATGCTAATGAATTATATAACTGACTTTAAACTGATGCCTATTTTTGCTATATTTTCTATGTTGTGCTGACATAAGGGGAATAATCTGAATTTTTCATCACTTGTTTGTTACATTTCATTTTGCACACTCCATCTACATCTACATCATGTGCTCGGACTATTTAGGAACCTGAGCCGATATGCTGCAGCATTTTGATACTGTTAAATCATCCTTTTTTTTTATGCAGACCACCTGCGTTTGTGACTGACCTGGACTGGATTAACACATTTGTTTGAATTACTTTTAATTGACTAATCTATATGGGAATTTGTTCCATTTGTTCCAGTTTTGCTGGATATATATGTATATAATACAGTATGGTTTTTCTTTAAACTGTCCTTTACTTTCATTCAATAGCAGTTATCAATAACTGAATGATGGTGAAAGAGGAACAAGACAATGGATGTTATGAAGAGATGGGATGTCACATTTCTGCAAAGGAACCCCCTCTGATGAAATAAGGACTATCATTCCCTATTAGGCTGTGCAGATGTGCATATATTTGTTTTTGTTGTATAATATTTGGGACAGGATAGGGTCTTGTCAGCTTATGTTCCTTATATCATTGTGTTTATTGAAGACAGGTTGGAAAATTATGTGTTTAATGGTCTCCCCACAGAGATGACACTTTGTCTGAAAAAATAAAATAAAAAAAACGGATGGGAACAAACTTATATATAAGTATTTTTGCCCTTTTTGTGAACAATAAGAAACAGAAAAAAGCTTCCTGTAACCTAAAAAAGAACACAGCAAAAATAAGATAAGCCGGGATGTAAATTCAGAGGAACAAAGCTGACAAAGTAATTCTGTTCTAAAATGATTAAAACGACTAAAAAAAACAAATTCAAACACCCAGCGGAGAACTGAACTGCCCCACTTCCTTGTCTCTTTCATCTGTTTTTCTGAAAAGACATAATAGCAGTTTATAATAGAGTTTTCTATTCATATTCCAATCTAAATGGACATCTTGATATTGCACGGGACAGTAGCATTTTAGCAGGTTTTTATTTTAATCCAGATAAAACTCATCATTTTATTCAACACTCCATTTCCCATGAGCTATTAAGACCTCATGAGAGCTGTTAGTTGTTTAATGCTGCCATATGAGCATTAATAAGTAATGCGATCGCATGTTAAATAGAAATGTATTAATCAAGCAGAGTCCATTGAGTTATGGATAATGACATTAAGAGGTTTGCAAGTAACATCAGTTAGAGGAGTTAATGGACTGAGAAATTTAAATAATTTAAAAATGTAGACTAAATATGTGACACAGTAAAGTTTTGGTCTTCAGATGTACCATTAGGAGGCATCTGATGGTTCCCAAATTCATTCTGAAGCATGACAATGACCCCCAAAAGTTTACCAAGGAGAAGTGGTGGTGTTTTAAAGACAAAGGGTGATTACACCAAATACTAATTTTACTTTGTTTTGTTTTTGTTTACCTTGTTGGAAGCAAATTGATAAATGAAAGCTATTCATGGCATTATCTTCAACGCATTCTCAAATTTGCAGAGTACTTTATGTGTAAATATGTGGAATTTGATTTTAAAAAGTGCTCACTTTATGAAATAAAGTGCTTATTTTGATGTGTGCCTCTTAAGCATATTAAACCTTGGCACAAATGAATTGTCAAGAGAAGAGGCTGATTATTTCATCTCGTCATTTGTTTGTGCAGCTGTTTGTGGTAAACGTGTCTGTTATCACGCTACAACATGTCTTTTCTGTTTTCTCCCCACATTTCTTTCATCACTTATTTTGGCTGCACCTGCGGCGCTCAGCATCCTTCCATGGCAGGTGCCCTGCCCTTGGACCAAGGTGCGCCCGTAGCGACACGTTGATGGACACAGCGGTCAACCAATAGGAAACGTCCCTTGCCTCAGTTTCCAGAACCTCGGCATCTGATTGGTTGCTAAGGGCGGGGCCCTATCATCCCGAGCAGTAGTGCTGTCAGCCGGGGCGGCACGACTCCTGGAGGAGAGAGACGAGACGGATTGATGAAAACAAGCCGCAAAATCACATAAACAAAGAATCCGTGCCAGGAAATGATCCAATAGTCGCCAAGCTCGACGCAGAAAAGGTATCGTTCGGTTTAATGTCGCATTAGTGTTGTGTCTGGTGGTGTTTAATGGCTCTGTGTTGACTACAAAGAAATGTCTTGATATAACATCGATTAACTGCCACAGGGGGCTTGTACTAGCTCGTTAGCCACCGAGTTAGCTACGGGCATAGCTGGTTATAGTGGTCGACATCCAATATATGTAAAAGAAAATGTGACTTACCTACACACGCTTCCATGCTTCCTTGGTAGGACTCACACAGCGAACAATACCGCGTTGCTCTGTGAGGCAGGATTAGCTAAGCAACAGTCTTTATGTTAGGAGCGACGCTGATTGTAAATACACACTTCGTGATGGCGCTGAAAGATAATATGCTACACTGGATGTTAGCTACCAGCTAGGTAGCTTACCTTAATGAAATACCAGGGAAGTCACTACTACTAGTTGCTAAAGAATACAGTTTGAGGGTATAAATGTAATATACTGAAAAACATCTCGGAGGGTAGCATAACTTAACGTTTTCAGTGTCTGTCTGGTACCACGTCGGAGCCCGTTGACCACTCACTGCTGTAATGTTTTTCTTCATTGTAAAGATGATGACATAGTTATTGGTTGCCTTGAAATTGTGAAACTTAAATTGGTTATGGTCCAGTGGCGCGCATCATCCCGCCTGAGTAGCTGTGCACTTTATTATTCTGCAGCTGAGATGCTCAGGAGTCAGCTTGAATATTTGGTGAGAGAAGGGCAGTGTTTGAACATGTATTATTTAACATTACATGCACCCAGATGCAGCCAGACAGCAGGCACCAGCACTTATTGTAGGCTCCTTCATTTCTTATCATCTAGCAAAATGGGGTCATACATATTTATCTATATGAATATTTTTGGTTGTGTTGTCATTTTACATACTTTGGTGAGTTGGCTCTGAAGTGAACCAGTAGGCATGACCCCCTTTTTGCCTAGTTTTGTTCAGCCTGGTCTGTTCATGCTCCTATTTAGTCCAGTCCTCCTTATTCCTCACCCTCCCTCCCCTCCTTCCTCATGACTCAATCAGCCTCCCTCTCCATCTCTCCAGCTGTTTGGCACAGCCAGTTGGCGACCCAGTTAACGCCATTGTTCTGTCAGGACTTACGCTACAAGTAACACACACAGACACTATGTCATGTGTGTCACGGCATTGTGCCCCTGTGACGATCCCCCCACTCCTACATTGCTCTCACCAATTTACAAAAACAATTTTTTTTATCCCATTTTCATGTAAGGATACACATATAAATGTTATAAAGTTCATATAGTAGAGGGAATAACTTTGTAAGAATTCAGTGGAGCCACATAATGCAAAAGCATTTTTTTTTAAATGTAAGGAATTAGGGTTTTCTATTGACTTAGTTGTGGTAATCTTTTCTAATCACATGTATGTTGGAAA